GTGTGTGTGTGTGTGTGTGTGTGTGTGTGTGTGTGTGTGTGTAATCACTTATGAAATATTTACCTACTACTTTTGAAGTTTGGCTGCTACCACCTCCTGTAACAATTAATGAAGAGAGAAGAAACGTTAGCTATCACAAGTAATTGCGTCTACAGAATATTCGACTTAAGCACCTTTAATTACCTTGATCAATGATCGTATAAATAACTGTTAGGAGAAAAAACCACACCCTTACACTTACGCAATAGAAAAATAAATTAAAATAAGGAAGACAAAAATTTAAGTGATTCAGAAAAGAGAGAAATATTTACTAATAGTTTCAGAACTATACATTCAATAAATTTTCTCAATTTCTCTATTTACCCAAAACTCTTTACACCATTGCATATCTCTTTCATCACTTCTCTCTCTCTCTCTCTCAAAAAAGGTACTCTGTCTTTAGACTTTTCTCTGAGTATACATAAAATCTTACACAAAGTACTTATTTATAGACTCTTAATAACCATCGTCCAAAAACAAAAAAAGAGTAACTTACCCAAAAAATATAAAATTATTATTTTCTCAAAATTAATTTGAGTCACTCAACCGACAATAACTAATATATACCACTCTATCCATACATACAAATGAAGCTTTTATTGTGACTTTTAAAAACTATTAGATAGAATGTCATCCGTCAAGGCAATAGACGAAGGTGACATAGCATGTAAAGAAGCAGGACAAGTAATAAAAGTGAACCTTTTTCCTTAAGGCAACGATCAGATCACAAATAAAGGAAAAAAGCTAGAAGAAAATTCCAGATTTGTCAATCAAAGAAAAAGAAAAGATGAGTTAGTTACACGCTATGGCTTACTTCAGTAGCCAAAAAAAAAAAAAAAAAAAAAAAAAAAAAAAAAAAAAAAAAAAACAAAGAAAGAAAGATGCCTGAATTATAGAAGACGTTAGTGTGTATTCAGAATCATGTAGTTCCCAAACAATTCAAACTCAATATGGGCTACTAAAAAAAAAAAAAAACTAGTAGATGGGATTAAGCGACATGTTGTGCATCAGTAAAAACAACCTATCAAGATAGTAAATAGATTTTCTTTTCTGGCTTCGACCCTTTATAGTGAGGAACTCTGTAGACACTGAATCTTCAAGCCACTTTAATTTCAACAAAAACATTAGGATTTGCAATGCGAGGATGGAGAGAGCGTGAAGAAGAAAGTGTACGAAATCAACTGAACTGCTCAAAGAACCCGTATATTCATCATTCGGCTTGCAATTATTATGACGAATTTTGCTTGCAAATCTGGTTAGAGCTTTACCCTGTTTGCTTTCAGTTATATGGGTGAAATCCACAACTCAAGGCAAAGAGAATCAGAAAGACATATTAAAGTTCCGAAAATTATGTTTCTCTCTTTATTCAACAGAGAGACCAAACTGAACTAAGTCAATCTACCAAATTACCTTCTATCATGGAAATTTATCCCATCCAAACATGGCCAAGAAAAAAACAATCAAGATTCTGTATATACTGTAGTAATTATTTACTTTTGTACCCAAAACTCATAATCCTAATCACAAAGATCTTAATCTTCTACAACGTTTCACTAACAACACTATTAGCTAAGACAGTTGCGCAGAAAAGCTTAAATACCTACTTGAAACCGAACAAACTTGATCGCCACAAATGCAAATGGGTTTGCTCGAATTGGAGTCGAATTCGCATTGGCCACCAGAACCAAGGCACTTGGAACAAAGATCAGAGAACGGAATTGTGTAATTCACGTTGAATCCCAACATCAGAGCCTCCCCAAGCAAAGACCGATTTTGCGTAAGATTAAACGCGATGCTCTCAAGTATCGGTACCCCAATGCTTGTATTGCACTGGATTACCCTCAGAGCCGGGTCGTACGGAATCGGACCGACCAAGAAGTACGAATCGTTCGATGGAATCCCGAAATTCACACACCAAATCCGGTTCTCCGGAGTCAAGCTGTACAGCGAGACGTTGCACCGATAGAGCATCGTCAGATTGGTGTTCCCGACGCCATAGCTGAAGACGCGAGAATCGAGAGATGTGTTGACGAACTTTTTGGGGCAAGTCTCGTTCCAGAGATCCGATCGTGCCAGGGTCAGAGTGTGTTGGAGCTGGTCGACTCGGAGGACTCGGTACTTCAGCGAGTTGATGGTGATCTCCGGCGACTCTCTGCCGGAGCAGGAGAGGCGGAACTCCGGCGGGCCGCAATATTCGGGGTGGTTGCCGCCGGTGAAGGGATAAGATAGGTTCTGGAGAGAACCGCAGCTGAAGGTGGTGTTGCAGTCCGCGGAGACAGAAAACGGCGTCGTAACATGGACGGAGAAGAAAACGGCAACGAAGAAGATGACGGCGACGGTGGCCGGAGGGGAAGGAATCGGGTACATTGCTGAGAAGTGGAGAGGGAGATGAGTGGAATGAGATGGCAGTTGGCAATAGGGTTGTGGGTTTGACTACTTGGCGGGAAGGTGGCTGGTTTGTTTTATTCTGTTGACTGGTGGCTGGATTTGGTTGAATTCCTGCCTCCTTTCAATGGAATATCACTATATCGAGGCTGTCTTTCATTATTATATTCAATTAAATAATGATTAGATCCTGCAATAAGTGTTCTAGAACATATTTTATCAGTTTTAATGTGGTGGTAACAGGGTCTGAACCCACATTATTATATAGAATTTTGGATGGGAACGTTATTACTTTGCATGCAATCTGATGGGCGATATTCATCAATATTCCACCAGTTGTAACTTTGAAAAAAAAAATTTAAATTGCTATGGTCGTTTTGATCGGAAAAGGAAAGTAGTTAACAAAAATATGACTGGAATGAGGTGTCTATTGGCTAGTTTTGAAGACGGCTGTTCTTCGTAGGGGGACCCGCCTCTGGCCCTATCCTGTCTAAGGAGCTCTATTAACTTTTAAGATAATTTCATGAGTTTTTGGACTTTTGCCTCCTACTAAACTTTTAGATTTTACCCTTTTAACTTGTTAAACAATTGCAACGTGACTCATTTTATTAATATTGTTTTGATTCTTAGATTAAAGGGACTAATTAGAGTAGGAGACTTAAGGGATTTGCCTTACGGTTTGAATTAAGATGTTAGAATTTTTAGTCAAACGTTTCCTAAACCGTAAAAGTTTAAGGGACAAATGTTCAAATTTCCTAATTCTATTTAAGTTATTAATTCTTAACTTTGAGTATTATGACACTTTGGTACTTGAGTTTTTTTTTTTAATAGATTGCTCCGAAATTTGATTTTAGGATTAGTTTTTATTACTTACAATAAACTTGATGATGAATTTATAAGTTTAACAGAGGTAATTTCATAATAAGTGAAAATTGTGTAGAATTTGTTACATTAAATGCAAAATATGCCCCTAGTGTTGCTAAAATCATTAAAAACTAGAGCATTGCACTTTTAATACAACTATTTTTATAAAACTTTCAATTACTCTGGGGGCGATGTTAATTTGTTCCCCTAAAATTCTATAACAAAATTTTCTATATGAATTTCTGAACAAATTTCTATTATCCCAGAAATTTTTAACTTTAAATATACATATACTTTTTCAATAAAAATTAAATATTTATATTATATTTTAATGTTAACTTTTAAGTAAATCATTTGTTTAAATTTAAAATATCAATTAAAGTAAAATCAACTACAAATAGATAAAAAGAGAAAGGAGAAATTGTTGAACTTACTTTTTTTATTTAATAACTTTTTTATTAATACTTTTTTTTTTACTAATATAGTTATTTGACTAAAAAACGTATTAATCAAAAGTAAAAGATAAAAACTCGTACCAATATATTTTAAAGGTATTTATCTCATTTCTCCATAAGAAAAAGGTTAAGGAGATGAGAGTTATACAAGACATTATTACATTATTATTTTATTTGAAAAGTTTAAGTTTAATTTATGTTTACATAAATGTTTATTATATTTATTATAAAAATACTAGCAATTATTGTTTCTCTAGTGCTTGTCATTTTAACCTAGCATAATTCCACACTCTTCTCAATTTCACGCCTTTAAATTCAAAATCTCTCTGCCCACCTTAAAAAAAATATAATGATAATTGTAGTAAGGTTTATCTTTATACATATCCTATGAACTATGAAACATTTTTAAATTGTCTTATGATTGTTTGAAACCGTTTAGAATATACCCGATCTATTAAAACTTCTCAAAATGCCCTTCGTCCACTTTCATCTAGAATCCGAATAGAGTTACTAATTTGACATGTCACTAAAGGTTCAAAAAATGTATTTTTGTAATATAAATCCTTATCATGAAAAATATTAATAAAAAAACTAATAACTGAATTTCATATCAACCCTTGATCTAAATCGATCTAATCTCATCTCAGCCGTTCATTTAAATTTATTTAAAAATGATAGGAAGCATTAACTTTAGACATAAAATGACAAAAACACCCAATAATTTCAATGTTTGATATGAACATATTCAGTTTCAGGTCTTAATAGCTTCAAGTAAGACTTAAGGTTAAAAAAGCCTAACCAAGAACAGCTCCCATGAACCATTAGCGTTGCCTTGTTCTCTACGGAAGCTCCTTTACTAGGAATTGCCCCTTTTGTGCGAATCTCAGGCCGCGAAGGATGGGGTTAGCAGAGGGGGTGGGAGTTTGTGACGAGTTGATTCAACTCTAGTTTTTTTTTTTCCAAATAAATTTAAATGAAGGGCTAAGATTAATTAGGTGGATTTAGATCAATAGTTTATATTAATTAGAGTAGTTAGCTTTAATTAATAGTTTTTTCATAATAAGGATTTATATTTAAAACACATTTAATAAACATTTAATGGCATGTCATGTCAGGAAATTAATCAGGGCCATTTTGAAAAGATTCATAATTCAAAAGTCATTTATGAAATTAATAATAATAGCGGTGATCCGCGATGATAAAAAATAAAAAGCAGCGAACACGTTTTCGGAGTGGTAGGTTTAATATCATCATTGGCCTACATGATTACGTTTAAAAGCTAGAGGCTCTATAGACCTCTATTTGGAGGTTTTTTTTTTTTTTTTTTTTTTTTGGAAGCATGTTAATACCAGAGACAAGTGGGCTTTAAAATTGGAATTGAAAATTGGCATTTAAATATGTTGGGCAAGACACCCAATTGGGACAGATAGCACCTAGAATTGGGGATTTTTTTATTTTTTATTTTTTTTAACGAAACAATCAAATGGGTAAAAAAAATAGGGTGCGTCCATTTATACAATTTAAGTTATTATATAATTTAGATTGTATATGTAAAAAAAAAAAATTTATAATAAAAAATTTCAATTTCAATTTATATAAAAAAAATACTGTAACATGACTTTAATTGAACAAGACCATAGAATAGTAAAAGTTGGTTTTGCAGTCAAATCAGGCAAAGGTCTGTTTGGGCGTGATGAAAATTATCATGTTGCAAAAGGAGACTCCTAGAGGGTGTCACCATTGGTTGCACCCCTGAAAGGCTGAAACTAACTATTACTAGATTAAGGGGGTTTTTTTTTTTTTTTTTTTTTTTTTTTTTTTTTTTTTTTTTTTGGGTGGGTGGTGGGGAATATATATCTACAAATAGAGATTGAAAACTCAGTTGATAACTAAAGCGAGACACGGATTGATACTATGATAGGTGCTTTATATATTCTAGAAAATACTCGTATTGAAATCCCTATGTTTTTTTAGCTAAGCTAAAAGATAAGAACTTGCTCAAGCCATTTAGGATCCTCAAATTATTAAGAAACGGATTGGAGGACAAGAAAATCGACACTTACCTGAAGGAGAATCAGATCCACACAATAATCCATAAGGTCTGTCTTTGCAGTAGCAGGTGAATTCTCCGGTTGTGTGATTGGATCCACAGACTCCGTCGGACTTTACACATTCATCACACCTGCTATTGTTTGCTTCCCACTCCATCACAAATCCAGAAACTAGCGCAGCAGTCAGATTCGGTTGTAACAATGCATTAACAGCTTCTTCTATAACCCCAGCTTCTGAGTCGGAAATACGAACAACCACACTTTCCTGGCAAGTTGGACTGTATGTTGAAAGCAATTTCTTTGTAGCATCTGTGGCAAAAAAATTAGTAACTGTTGTTCCGTCATTGGGGCAACTGAATTGACTTGAAACCCCAACACTAACTGCTGATGAACATCGGTAGTACAGTGTCAGGTCTTGAGTTTCAGAAGTGTAGTCAAAGAAGGTGGAATCCAAGGTGGCGTTTTTGTGTTCTTGAGGACAGGAATCGTTCCAGTAATCGGTCCTAGCAACCGTGAGAAAATGTTCCCTCGAATCAATCCCAAGCACGCGATAACCTGTCGAATTAATGGTGATCACCGGTGCCTCTCCGCTGCAGTTCAGCTCAAACTTCGGGTGACCGCAATAATCTGGCCGTTTCGGACCCCAGAAAGGATAGCCAAGTACGCCCTCCATGTTTGCGCACTTAAAGGGTGTGTTGCAGGCCACGTATTTTTCATCTTCTTGAGCAGATACAGAAAAATATTGTATGCAGATTGAGATTAAGGTGACGATCAAGATGGAGAAGAAAACCTTTTGGGAGAGATATTGGAGATACATATTTTGAGAGAGCAGGAAAAAGATAGTTTGAGATGCTCATAATATAAAACTGAGAAGATGAAGAGATGAATCAGTATTTGATTTAATCAATTCAGTTCAAATGTCATCATAGAAAAATAGTGGCTTTGACGAATTATAAGCTGAGGTGTATTGAAATTTGTGTCGCTATAGAAGGTTCTATTGGAAAATATAGTACATGATAAAAATGTGGCAAAGTCAGGGCTGAGCTTAATTAGGAGACCTAGTCTAGCATCTATGATAGAGTCGTTAAACTTGAGAAATGCGCAGCGTTTCCATCACGAAATCCAAATTGTCCGGCTCATGTTTCAAACCTCGGAGTAAAGCACGCAACACTAAACTGATTTTTCTTTTCGGAGTTTAAATTATAGTTTAAATTTTTATACTGCAGTGTTTTTTTTTTTTTTTAAAATAGAAATTTAAATTTTTTATTTAAATATATGAACTAAACGAGACAAATGCTTTTCATTAAATCTCGATTGGAGATCGTATTTTAAAATCAAAGAAATCAGCATTCTCATCCAGAAGATAGATATTAACAAAATCCTCCTTATATATTGTGATACTTGAGTTTTCTGTCTTTAGATCACAGCCATATAAATAACATATTGATGTACACACACGTCCTCACACATCTATATTAATTAATGTTGTCAAAGTAAAGTAACTAAGAATCACGTTCTAGTTTTCTCCGAAGCCCTAGGCTTCACGTGAGCTAAAAAAACAAATTTTTGGTCGTGTTTCTAGAACCTGGAAGACAGTACTGGCGTGAAGATAATTTAGGGCATCTCAGGAAAAAAGCAAAGAAAAAGATGCTAATATAA